GGAGCCGCAGCATTGGCTGACTGTTCAGAGGCATTCTGCCCCCTGGTGGACGGCCAGGGAGGGTTTGATGCATATTGCAGAAGCTTAGTGCCCTTCCCACACCCTTCCCTTCTGATAACCTCAGGAGGTGCTCCAGTTGAAAGCTTTTACCTCCTCCACATATATATGCATTTGGAGCAACAATTTCCTTTTATGTAATATAAAAATTCTTGGCTTCCAAATGAGCTCTTCAGAGCTAAAATAAAAATTATACGCATCATTGTTGGTAAAGACTAAAAGAGGAAAATGAGGTGCTGAAAAAAAGGGTGTGGATATGGCCAGAGAATGTGGATTTGAGAAAATAGTCATACATCTCTAGAAGGTGGGAAAGAAGGTTTAAATGTGAATAAGAGAAAGCTACAGGAAACTAAATGTGTGCCAATTTCTCATTGACATTGCACCTACTGAAAACCATCTCTTGTGTTCCCTTTTCCCTTTATACCAGGAATGACCAGCCAAAAGAGGTGGTTGTGGAAAACTGCTAATCTCAATCATTTCTAATTTAGACAAGATCTCCCCATTCCAGCTAACTGAAACTTCCTCCATCTACTCTCAAATAACCTTGATTTTCTGTGCTACAAGTTGAGTGCATCCCTACAAAGGAAGCACTTGGAAATAATGCCGAAGAGGAACTACCATTTATGAATCCCACTTCTTCTGAAGTGCAACGTGTACAGACTTTGAGCCTTTGCAACAACTTACAGTTAGGTGATATTTTGGAAAGAGAGCCACATAATCTACCATCTACATTTATCATTGAAACCTGTTAGGACATTCTGACTCCAGAAGTTGTTTCTCTGGATATTCCATTGGTCCTTGGGTAGCACAGCCTACCCTTACATCATGCAAAAGTCTGCTTTCCCTCAGCTTCTCCTTTCTCTCATTTTGTATTTTAATCTTCAGAACACTGAGGAGAAACTCCTTTAACATTTCTATCTGGAAAGCATCTTGATAGTGGGTGCAACCTTCCCTCTTTATAAAATACAAAATTACTTTTGAACTCTTCCTACACACATAAACTGAACTCTCCAAACCATGGCAGCACATACCAATCCATCACACTGTCAACTATCACCAGTCATCCTCTCATGAAGGCTTGAACTTCAAAACACAGTCCAGAATCCAGTGACCCAGTCTTCCCATAATAATAGAACTAGTACTAAACACTTTTAGAACACAAGAAGGACTTTTATTTCATCATTTTCCTAAATTTAATTTCCAATTACACATTTGCTGAGAGGTGGAATACCAAAGGCAATTTTAGACACAAAACTCCACCAAATACACACAATCTGAGACATGACTGCTTGAGTGAGTTATGGTCCCCTCAGTACTTCCCACTTAAAGAAGAGAAAACTAAGATAATAGAGAGGAAAGGTGAACAATATTGTTCTATAGGAATTTTTGTCAAACTTCTTAAACATTCATTCCATGGGTGCAGTGTCCATTTTTTTAAAAAGGAAACTCTAAAGTTCCTACAAACACAAGACAATATTGGCATTTTTAAATGAGTATACATTCATATACTTGTGTGAAAATTTGTGCAATTAAACAATATGGAAAATGATACTTGTTACCATAGTCAATGAAATATATTTTCATTTCTATGTAAGTTAAACATTTTCATCTCCCATTTTATGTTCTGCAAAAAAGCCATGTATCTAGTTTATGAAACAAACTATGCTCATATGCAGTAGTAACTGAAAAGGAGCTTACCAGTTCTATCTGCATACCCCAGGGGTGAATATACACCTTGCATAATCATGTGCAATGCTGGATGATGATCTTAGATCTCGTATCACTACAAAGGTTTGCAAGCTTCTATTTGATACACGATGCCCCACATTCAATCAGTTCAGCCAAAGTACTCAAGCAATAATTAAGGTGAGTGATTTACAAAATGACAAACAACCCATTTGACTAAATTGACCATGTTTTGTCAACATGGTGACACAGTCATTGTAAGTGCCCTATAAAGAAATCATTTGTAAGTGGCTATTTGTTTCAATTAATTTTCCCCTAAGGCTCTTAGAAGTTGAATTAATTGCCTCTTGGGCCCCAAGAAAACACAGCTACATAAACAGGAGACCAACATATTAATAATATAAAAACAAATACCATGCTTCATGTGCATTCCTCCATAGGAGAAATGTCACAAAGCACAAAGAAACTAGGGATCCAGCAGAAATCTACAGGATTATCTAATGCCTAAGATTTTATCTTACTCCAGTGTCAGGTATAATGTTTGTTGAAATTCCCTTTTTTTACCTACAGTACATGTGAACTTTTGAATAGCATCTTTTCAGAGTCATTACCCAGTGTAAAGGTCTGCACAGTAGGCGAGCAGTGTAATTCAGCTCACTACATCTATTGTCTGATGATCTGGACTGGGCAGCTTTACACAGGGAGTGGATCCATTTTATAAAGACAACTTCCTTCTGCAGACAAAAGGTCTCGAGTGCAGACAGCCTCTGAAGCAAGGACTGTGAATCTTCTTTGGCATATTAAACATTCCACATACACACTTGTTCTTACAGATGACCCTTCGGGACTGATTCTTTTTGTTAAGAAAGTGCAATATTTTTTTTTCATCTTCTAGTATGTGATTTTGCTGTATTATGTACCCCTCAGAGTGAATTCAAAATAACCAAGTGCCACTGAAACTTAGAAAGAGAGATACGGTTCAGTAATTTTAGATGTTATCGTCACTGACATGGCAGATCAGTAACACATCTCCAAGGCTAGCAGGCTTGCCAGTTTCCTGGTTGTTTAGTAAGCCTTAGGTCTGGCTCTATGAATTATACAAAAATAGGTTCAATTTCAGGCTCTCTCAGCTTTTCTAAATTTCTAATGTGTCTTTTTTCTAGCTGCTCCTACCCAAACTTCAATAGTAAGAAAAAAACAAGGTGGAGACCCAGGCTCTCTTTCTCTCATGCACACTTTAATATAGTTTGGGGTGTTCTGGCTGCGTTTTGAAGATTTCTGGACAGGGAAACTTGTTCTCTTGTTTACTTTATATATTTGCACACAAAGGAACCACAGATGAGAGAGAGTGCAAATGATTATCAAAAATTGTCTCATGCATTTTAAGATTTTTTTTACAAGTCAAAAATATACATCCTCTTATCTCCCCCTTTATTCCTTAATTATGTAAGAAATAGCATCTGTTTCATCAGTCTCCTCCGTATAGCACGGAATTGGATAAGGAAGAAAGATACTTTCTTGTTAAGGAACTGTATCCAACTCTAATCCATTTGACAAACTCCTCTACCAGCAGCAGTTTGGACTGAGTCACTCAGCATACCCTCCAGTGATGGGGACTGAAGTGTGTAAAATGACTGGTACATGAGATTAGGAAACCACGCAGCCTGCAGACTTTGGCACTAGCACACAGTATGTTTTGTTTGAGCAGTTAGAGTTGTAGTTTGACATCACGAAACAGGAATTTAAAAAATTAGAACTCTGCAGAAAACAAACCCTCTTAGGTGTTGATTCTCAGTGTAACACTCCCCATCTCCCATTCCCACCCACCACCCCCATATATTTTTTGGTTGTAATAAAAATAGAGATCTTATCATCAGAATTTCACTTTAACTCTTCAAGGTTGCTCTGTGCCGTCCAAGCCACACTTAGTGTTTGAAGCACCAAATCCACAAGTCTCTCCAACCACATTTAAATAAACAAATGAAGACTGAAGGATGTCAGAGTGAGTGTTCTAAAATTAAGCTGTAACACAGAGTTCCCCCCAAAGCACAGGGTATTAATTGTCTAGTTCAAGTACGGCCAGGCTGTGTGTAGATCTGTCTCAGTTAGGCTTCTGACAACACCTACAAGTGCCACTGGCTTAGAGGGTCCATGGTACAAAACGGGGCATCCCCCATCCATCATCAATGTTAAAAAGTTGCAACCTTTTGTGTGGTTGGCTGCAGGAGGATCTGTGCTGAGCCCGGGCTTTGAGGACAGGAGGCTAACCTCCTCAGCATGGAAGCTTTGCAGTAGTTGGAGCAGTTCACCTTCCAGAGTGCTCTCTCAGAGCTGCCCGGATTCTCAGGATCCATTGCCCTTGCCCGGGACAGAGAGCCTTGCTTCCACCCAGTAACAGGGAAAGAAGATTTGACCTACCTGCAAAAGACCCAACTTGGTCCCCAAAGGTCGCCTAGGCGACCCCACTGCCATTGACAAGTCAACCTGTGCACTTAAAGCGTATCAGTTTATGGAATGCTTGTTTGAAGTCCTCATTGGACATGGTATAGATGATGGGGTTGATGAGGGAGTTAAGATAGCCTAGCCAGTTGAAGAAGTCAAAGATGGCCATGTGAAACCAGCAGGCATCCTTGCAGATAGGCATCACCAGGGAGATGATGAAGAAGGGCAGCCAGCACACAATAAATGCTCCTAAAATGATCCCTAGGGTCTTGGTGGCTTTGCGCTCCCTAGCGGCCATGAGTTTCTTCTTTTCCAGCAGGGCGTCCGAGACTCTCACTTTGACTTGGTTCACGTACACTGGAGACCCGGACTCACTGGGCACGTCGGGAGCCCTGGAGTTAATGGAGGTGACCGAGGACGTGGACCCAGGGGAGTCTGTTATCAGCTGGGCTCGTGTCAAGCGCTTGCCGGTCTTGTTGGGTGTCTGTTTCAAAATCCGAGAGCGGGCTTCCACATAGATGCGGCCATAGAGGGCGATGAGGAGCAGGGTGGGTAAATAGAAAGCGCCCACCGTGGAGTAGACTGTGTAGAGGACGTGGTCGGTGTTCACAAAACAGTCCAGCACCTCCTCCTCAGCTTTGGCTTGACGCCAGAAGAAGGGTGGCAGCGAAATAGAGATGGAGAAGATCCACACCAGGGCTATCATGATGGCCGCCCTTTTAGGAGTCCTTTTAGCGGAATACTCTACCGCATCCGTGATGGCCCAGTAGCGATCCAGGGCGATGACACAGAGATGCATAATGGAAGCAGTGCAACAGGTGATATCCGACGACAGCCAGAAGTCACAGACCACCTGGCCTAGTGTCCAGCGTCCAGTGACCGTGTACATGGTGCTGATGGGCATCACCAGGATGGACACGAGCAGGTCAGTGACGGCCAGAGAGGCAATCAGGTAATTAGCTGGGGTGTGCAGCTTCCGGGTGCGATACACCGTGGCTATCACAAAGGCGTTGGAGAGCGTGGTGGCCAAGGTGATGAGAGCCAGCAGAGCAACCAGCAGGACTTTCCAGGGCATGGCGATGGAGTCCTGGTAAATGTAGCTGTCTGCGCTGCAGTTGTGAGAGAGGTTGACAAGAGGTACCCCTGTCTGGGAGGCGGCAGGAGGCGGCGGGGCGCACTGAACTCCCTGCTCCTCCATGGCTCTCCTAGCCCCGGCTGCGGAGCGCAGCTCTTGAGCATGGAGCGGACAAGGGAGAGAACAGAGGATGGGAGGATCATGGAGACCACGGGCTTGTCTCCTTTGCCTAGCCAGTTCCGTGGGCTCCTCAGTAACTCCTCCGCCTGGGTTCTTAGCCGAAAGGAGAGGTCACAGGCGGGGCCACCAAGCCGGCGGGCGCGTCCCCTGCACTTCCAGTGCGCCCAGCGCTGCCGCCGCGTCTGCTAGCTCCTCTCCACGCCCCGTCTTCTCCCGGGTGATTAAAGCACTGGCCCACCCAGTCCAGCTCCGCTCAGGCTCCCTGGAGGCAAACAGTGGAGAAGAGCTAAGTATCGCTTGGGAAGGGGGTCTCAGGTCAAGTGGGACCTCTTACCCCAATTGTTCAGGGCTCAGCTTCTCCTAACCCGGGCGCTCCGGAATCTGCAGACTCCGCCCGCAGGAGTTTCCTCGTTGTACAGACCTAAGCTTGCATGCCAGCGCAGAGTCTGGGGCTTGCATCCCCGCCCCGCGCCCCCCACCCAGGCCAGGGCCACTTTCTGTGGCCACCGCCTGACTTGGGGGATTGTGAAGTCTGCGAGCCGCGCCGCGCCTGGCGCCGGAGCTCCGCACTCCCTCCCTTTTCACGCGCTGGCCACACGGGCGAGCTGCCCCGCGGAGACGCGGCCACCAGAAGGGAGGCTCTGGGGTCGGAGCTGCAGCTGCTCGAGCCGCGCAGCAGCTGTCACCACCTCCTGGGTTCCAGCCGCGCCGCTGGGAGCCATGCCGCGGGGCGCACAGGGCTGAGGCACCTGGAGCCGTAGACCGGGAGGGGGCAGGTGTCTGGGGGAGCAGGAGAAACCCGGCGTGCGCCAGCCCGGGAGCTAGGTGTGAGCCTCAGAGCCGGTGAGGCTCCTTTTATACTATCTGGGTCCAGCCTGGTCCGGTCTTGCAACTCGTGCAGTGCGGCGAGTGCAGACGCCAGCGGCACAGCACCTTCGCTTTAGCTCTCTCCCTCCCTCTTTTCCTCCCGCCCAGTTCCATTCCCGGCCACAGGCTCTCCCGCCGGGTCCTACCGCCCTCTCTCGCAGTTTTCGTCACCTTGTCCCTTCTCCCGACCCTGACACTCAGAGTCGCCTTTCAGGCGGGGAAGGGGGAACGGGACGTCCTGTTCTTGCCTCTGCGGGTTTTGAGTCTTAGCGCTCCCGCAGTCAATCCACGCCCTTAGTCGCTGTCACAGACTTAGTGCGGGCGTCCGGGTCTAGGCTTCCGCCTACCACCACCTCCCTCTTTCCTGGAGGTTGGTGGTAGGTGGAGCAAGCCCCAATCTCTGAACTCTCCTTTCTGGAATCTAACCCAACACGGAAGGCCACACCCAGGTTGGAAGGAGGCGCCAGAGATGCTGCCTTAGAAGGAAGAAACCAATTTGAGCATTTTATACTTCACACGCTTGGGGCTTTGAGATGTCTTTAACTCTTAGTACATTAACAACACATTTTCTTATCTGCATTTAGAAAATTGGGCTTGTCATCCAGCCTTCCCCCTTTAACTTTGTGAGTCATCGGGAGAGAAGCTGTCTGCAAGATTTAAAACAATGTCATAAAGAGAAGCCAGTTACTGTATGTGAAATTAAACATTTGGCTCCAGCCTCCCGTTCCAGTGGCTGGCGGCTCAGTGCCCGAGTTTCCAGGGAAGAACTTCTTCCCTTCAGCCCGCCCAGGAAAGAGAAAATAAAGAGGCCTCTGAGCCATCCTCACTGCACTCATCACACTGTCTCCTTTGCCCTCCACAAAAGGATCGCGATTCTGCCATAGGGGGCAGTAAGCAAGGCAGCTAGGCCCCCAAACCCTCAGCAGATTTCTTGTGCTGGGTTTCTCCTCCAATCTGAACAGAACCAAATACAGGGTACCCGTCCAAATCAAAAGTTGAACGTGAAGGGAAATGTATTATCCGTCTTGAGCACTAAGCGGTCCACTGTAAGTCCCAAGAACCTAAGTTTGTGTTTGGTATGTTGGGTGGATCCAATAAAAGCCGCAGTATAATTGAATTCATCAGGTTCTCTGCAAGTGTGTTTTTATAAGACTCAAATCATTCTGTCTCAGAGGTGAGTCAGGGATCGTCTGCAGTTTAAAGGTGGAGTAACTCCAGACCTATATGAGAGACTTTTACCTAAGATGACATGGCCCCAAACCAAATTCCCTGCATCATTGGTCCTCTAAGTCAGCCAGCCAGGCACAAATTAGAATGAGTAATTGATGCTGGATTAGAATATGTAATTGACGCTGGGTATTCTCTGCACTAGGAATATGGAAACGAACAGGGCAAATTCAGAACCAGTTTTACAGCAGTTATATTTGTTAGCAAGTGTGGTAAAGAAAATACAAATTTTCCAAGCTTCAAGAGGGCACTCCTTTTAATAAGGGGTTTTAGCCGGATTGCAGTAAATGCTGCGAAGATTAAAAAAAGAAAAAAAAAAGAAAAGAAAAAGAAAAAGAAAAACACCTCTCCCGCGCCCCGTTCCTTTCCCTAAGGCAAGAAACGCCAGCATATTAAGCATTTTCCCACCACATTTTTAAGGTGGCCTCCGGTCTTCCAACTCCATCCATCCACACCAGGCGTCTTCATTATTTTCTTAACCCTGGTGGTGCCCAGTTCAAAGCTATTGGAAACGGAAGGGACGAGAAGCTGGCAAATTCAAACCACTAGGTGGGGACGTTGACCAGGATGGAGTAAGTGCGTGTTGGAGGGGCAAGAATGTGGGGACACTAGGAAACTACTTTCTTGTTACCATAGTCTAGTGGGGGAGCTAGAGAAGCCTGAGAGAACTGCTCAAGAGAAAGGAGACGGAAGAAGAATATGAAGAACCATAGCGGCCTCTTTATTTCTGTTTCAGAGGCAGGAGATGAAGAAAACAACTTCTCGGTGTTGGCATTAGAGAGGCAGACACTTGTAGCATTCCCATGGACTACTCCAGCTGATTTGCAGAGTCCCATGCCCTGAGCAGACACTACCACTTGCAGGCAGATTGGGAGTTTACCTTCTGGTTAGAGCTGCGTTAATATGCCCCTTCAGCACAGAAGGGATTTTGGCAGAGCTCAGTGAAGAGCCACAGTTCATTAAGCCTAGTTTCTGAATCACACTCATTCCTTTTAGGACTTGAAACATATAAAAGGCAGCTGTTTGCACAGCAGTGCATATTTTTGAAACAACATATTCACCCATCGCCCCTAGGTACCAATTCCTGGCTTTTTTAGTTCCCAAGTACCAGGTCGTTCAAGGGCACCTTCTTTCAAATTAGCGGTGAATCCAGAGCTTCAAAGAACAGTAAAAATTCACTGGGTAGAAAAAGCTCTTAATAGAGATGGCAGGACAGATCAGGTAGTGAGTCATTCATGATGGAGTACGAATCCCCCTCAAGGGGACCTTTCTATGCCAAGGGGCTGTGTTGCTCCCACAGGGAAATTCCAGGTACAGTCTGAGAGGTTTTGATCTTGGTCTTACCATACCAAACACTGAAGAGAAATTCTCTCTCCTGGCAACCACAAGGAGTGTGTCACAGAACTCAGAACTCGATGTCCAACACAGTACCTAGTCCCCAGTGAAATCTTAATTGAAAAATATCCAAGTGGCAGGTCCTAATCACAGAATGTGGGGACTGGACAGATACTTCTTTCAAGTCTTAAATGTCAAGTCTAAGGACAAGGTGAGTGCTGTGGGATGGTCTGTATGTCAAGTTTATTGCTGATTGGTCAATAAATAAATCACTGATTGGCCAGTGGCCAGGCAGGAAGTATAGGCGGGACAAGGAGTAGAATAAAGCTGGGAAGTGGAAGGCTGAGTCAGAGATACACTGCCAGCTGCCTCGATGACAAACAGCATGTGAAGGTGCCAAACAGCATGTGAAGGTGCCGGTAAGCCACGAGCCATGTGGCAAGGTATAGATTAATGGAAATGGATTAATTTAAGCTGTAAGAACAGTTAGCAAGAAGCCTGCCACAGCCATATAGTTTGTAAGCAATATAAGTCTCTGTGTTTACTTGGTTGGGTCTGAGTGGCTGTGGGACTGGCAGGTGACAGAGATTTGTCCTGACTGTGGGCCAGGCAGGAAAACTCTAGCTACAGGTGAGACATTTTTACTGCTGTGATATTAAATTTCCACTGGTGAAATGATAGTGAAGACACCAGCACTGAACAACCTTTTCCTGCGTGGTGATAGCCCATAGCCTGGCTCCTCTCAAATATCCTCACTATCTCTGAAAGTTGATTGGTATCACAGGAAATACAAACTCTTCCAAGGGCCTTGTTTCTATCCTGTGTCTTCTATGAGGAAACTATGAGAATGTTTGCATAAGAAAATACATGCAATTCTTACAAATTCTAAGTGTTCAGGATCCTTTCGTACATTTATTGGCCTCCATAGTAGTTTTTGTGAGCTGATATTCATGTCATAGTACTTCTATACTGTCTAATTTCTTAAGGATTTTTAAGATTTACTAGATAGTAAAGTCAGTTTTTTATAAGGCTAGTGTAGATTAGTTCCTAAGAAGGAACAGCTCTGCTGTGTTTCTAGGTATGGTGGACAAGCCATATTTATATAGAGAAAGGAAGAGTGACAAAATTAGAGCATTTATATAATATATAATATATTCATATGATATATATCTTTCATAGTCTAAGACCTGTCTTTGTAATAACAAACACTGTCTTAGTTTTCCTTTGCTGTGAAGAGCCCC